TAAATCATGAGAAGAAGTACTGGTATGCTAAAAGTTATTACACTACCTGATCATTATTTAAGAAGGACAGTCCATTATAAATAAACTGAAAGACAATGAAATATCCTTACGAATAAATAAATCAAAAGACAGGACATAATAAAATCTTCTCCTTCAAAATTGCAATGAAAAGTAAAAGGGGTTTTTACACTATGGCCTAATACAGATGTGTATCTATTGATAAAATTCATTTTAATATATAATAGCAGAATGAAACAGTGATCAGTCTAATAACTAGTAATGATTCCCCAGCAAAAGGTAGCCCCAGAGATGTTGCTTGATACTATGAAAAGTTAAAAAATTGGGAATGTTTGATGATTTTCATGGACTATGAGAAACAAAATAAAAATATGAATAATTTAGGTTGCCAATAGTTTTCATTTCATGTCTTTAGCCCTAAAGAGTTAACTAATGCGAAAAAGGGAATATTTTGAAAAGGCTCACTGAATACCTTATTGAAGTCAAAGTTATGCTGACACAAGAATTCCAGACTTGAAGCCTGAAAAAAAAAAAGATATGATATGAGATTTCACTAGTTTAGGCTTGAAGTAGGAGGCCAGCGCTGTAATTGAGTTAGAATCATGCTCACCTCTGGTTAAATCAATAAGTTAATTTGAGATCAATGAACTTAACATTGTACAAATCCTATATCCCAAATCTATTACTAACAGTAACTATGAAGTAATTCTATCAATGATGATGAAAGTTACCTGACAGAGAAATCTGACATCTAAGGGTCCGAATGAATTTGGAAATAAAAAGAAGTTGTACGTATGTGCAACATATCTACAAAAGAGAACAAAAAATGACATGAATGGAACAACAGTATTAAAAAAAAAGTAGAGGAAACAAAGAACCTTGAATTAATAGCACTCCTCAAGAGCTCATCAGGGGGACTTGAACAGAGAAGCAGGGCTGATGAGTTCTTGCCAGAAGAAAACATTGATGAGAGATCGCAAGGGGGGATCCTAAGAATTTGCAGCAATGATCACAAATGTTCCCCATCTCCTTTACATCACTATGTGGTTCACAAGAAAAGAAAATGTTTTGTGGCAGTTGAGGTTTGAAATCAAAGAGATTGTACCAATTATTTTGAAGTACTGTAAATTGAGTAGTATTTGTTGTAACAGAGATAGGAAATGAGTGGGAAATCATCATAAAGGTTAGAAGTGGAAGAGGAGGTAGAAAAAGGAGTGTAAAAATTCAAATTCTATTGGCTGAGAGAAGATTTTAAATATTACTTTGAATGTTTTCAAAATTATTTTTAAAAAGGCACCAGATCACAAATAATTAGCACGAATCTAGTAGCGCTTTCAAAAAATACCTGTTAGAATCATCTTTGGACTGAACAAAGGCAGTCAATCCTGAAAAATGAGTAAATGTAAAAACAACAATAATTTTAAATATCTTTTATTTTTTTTCTCACTAAGGTAAGAAAAGCAAATAATAACAACTGACAACTCACCAAACTGGCTGATCAGAAACTGTGATGCAGTTTTCTTTAATTTTTTGTATCGTGCTTCAGGATCATCAAACAAGCTAGAAACCAAAAAACATCAATAATAAATTGACTATTATGTTTTTATTCAATCAGAAATGTCGATCTTTAGACAGCATTTCTTTCAAACAAATTTCGGTTCAACAAGATAAGAAGAACTTATTCTATTTTTGCATAATGACTATACAATGGGTGGGTGATTGTAGTAGACTGATTCTGTATATCTCATCTCATCATCTTTAATAGTAACATCCTCATGAGGTTTTTCAGAAACTATTTACAAACTTTTTACAATTTATAAAAACATAAATAACGATAAAACTCATGGTCAGAATTTAAGATAGTATTCCACCAAGTTCTAGAGCTTATAAAGGAAATGTCTGCCTCAATAGTGTGTCTTGCAGAGCATGCTTGAAAGATGCCAATGAGGCATTTTGCCTAAGTTCTTTATTCAAGTTATTCCGTAATCAGCTAATACTGGGTTAAGATGTAAATTAATTTTTTTACATGGTCCTGTCCCAGAGTCCATGTCCATTGGTCTACACTACTGTGTGCACACCAGACAGGTATAAATTTGTTTTCTTATGATCTTAAACTACTGTAAGAGAAAGAAAGTGAATAAGATGTGTACAGCATTACAAATAATTTAACAAATGAAAGCTTTACCTTGGCTGAGAACCATCAGTGGTATAGAGGCCTGTAAACTCTGTATCAATAGCTAATAGTAGAAATAAATAAATCTGTAATTAAATAAATAATGAATAGTAATATTTCATGATTAAATGGCATCTGTTGAATCCGCCAAATTATCAGTTTTCCAGCCAAAAGCTGATTTATGAATAATTAAGACACTCTTTGCATACAGGTCTGGTTCAAAATGTTTAATATCAGTCTCTATTATTTAAAAAGAAAATTTTGCACTCTTTAAACTCGATCTTCTGCATGTTTCACTATTTTTGATATCAAGACCTACTTGAGGGAAATTTGATAATTAATTCCTTATCTCAGAAGACGAAATTAAGACCTCTGGCAAAGCACTCCATCAAGAAGATCCATCCCCCCGACAGGTACCCTACCTCAACTCCCACACCCCTACCTGTACCCAGCCCCAGAGGGGATTGGCTGATGACACCTTCACCAATCGTTATTTAAAATCCATTATTCTAGCGCCTGTATTAAACAATGTAGGAAAATGAACTACAATAAATGAGAATTAGGCTCAATTCCTTCTAAAGTGCCAGATGTTTTGCCCTTGTAAGTATAAACGCCTCGCGTTGCCCTAAGCATGGATCGGACTCAGCAGGACATGACTGATCCTTGGTTTAGATCGCGATCAGTTACCTTCGTCTGCAAGATCGATTCTTTAAAGACACTTCTACTTACCAACGAAAGCGCTTTGCTCGATCGCTTCTTTGATCTCCGGAAAAAGATCCTCAAAATTGTTACTCACAACTTCTACCATTGTCAACCTGGCAGTTACTACTCCGAACCTGGAGGCACTGGTTCTGAGGTCACGTGGGTTGTATTTTCGTTCTCCCGCCAAATTCGAAGATGGCGCCTGTAGCGTTTGCGTTTGTTGTTCGCTTCAGCACTGAGGTATGTTGAATAACAACTTTTCTCTCAGAATGTTTCGTCATTTTTCTCCTCGTGATGATTACAATGCTTCTTTGTTAATAGGATGCGATATTTAAAGCTGAAAATTTATGCAAAGGAAAGACAGATGCCACGAGCGCTTGGAAATGCGCAAGAGAAGACACGAATTGTGGTCGCATGGAAGCTGAATTCCAGCTCGAAAAGGCATCTTACATCAGCCACATCGACATTGGTATGTGTTATTCCTTTAGGGAATTAACAGTAAACGCTTCTAAGCTGTATCAACAGCTTAGCTGAATTAAGAGTGCACGTGACGCCTCGTATCTGTGTTCCATTTATATTCCAGTGCATTCATTTGATTGAGGGCAACACCGTCCTTTGTTTGTTTGGTTTTTGCGTCGCCTTTATACGTGTTATTTACTGTTTTTAAAAACAGTTAAACTTATTATATCCTATAAAAATACGTAATAGATATATATATATATATAGATATCTAAGAGGTCTGCATTTCGTCCGCAAATTTTTACTGAGTATTGCATAAAGATATTTATTATTTTACAAATATAATCAAACTCCCTCGACAATATGCGGGATGATTTCCCTATAACCCCATACATTAATTATGCATTCCATTTCATAAAGACTAAATATAAAGTTTCTGTGCAACACGCTATGCATAATTAATGTATGGGGCTATATGGAAATCTTGCCTAATATTCCCATTACCTGGGAAGTAACGCCTCAGTCACTAGTAACTGTGAAAGGAGCTATTAAAGAGTTACACTCTGGAAAGTTTCATGCTGAAATCCCCTTCATGTGCAATGTCTGCATCTTAAACTTTGAGGATGAGCAATAGGTTCATTCGATTTTGCAATATTTTTATAAGTTTTTATAAATGTTTTTATAATGTTTTTATACAATGTTTTTATAAGTTACCCTGGCAAATTTTCTGCAGAGAAGTTTCCCAGGAGTCTCCAGTTCTTAATGAAAAAAAGTATTTTCTTTTTCAGTGGAAAGAGAGATAGGGGGGGAGGTTGGGAGATGTCCTGACCAGTGGGTTAGTGTGTTAGTCATCTAGGCAGAAGGTCTGCTATCAAGCACTCATACTAAGCACTCATACTCAGCAATACTACATAACAAAATGTTCAATAAGAGAGTTACTATCCAACACGCAAAATTGTTATTTGAGTGCGGCCAAATTTCTAACCGGTTCTCTGGAGTACAAATACTGCATGATATTTGCACTATATTTGCGCGTTATTAATTTTTTGTACTCTATGAAGCACAGTTGCATGATAAAACTAGGTACTAGAAAACTGATAGGGAAGCTTGACAAGTTGAATACCTGTGATGTTTTGATGGTTGAAAAATAGCTATACATGTACTTTTATTTACCTTTTACCACCAGCCTCTTACAACTTTACTCTATATTTTTTCCCAGGCAACTGTGGTTCTGCCTTTATTGAAATTTTGGTTGGAAACTCAATGTGGCCTCAAGATAAGCCTTTTTTAACTTTATTACCTTCTGCCATGCTGATGACTCCTGCTGAGTGTAAACAATGGACAAAGACACACGCTGTTAGAATGCTTAACCCCAGTATGTACATATATCTTATTAACCAAGCGCGAGGGCCGTACTGGGAGAATATCGGCCCGAGGTCTTGACAGTACGGATCGAGCGCAGCGAGGTTCGTACAAAAAAGACAGAGGACCGATATTCTTCCAATACGGTTCCGAGCAAGCTTGGTTAATAAGAGATTTATTATACGACTGAAGTTCAAAGGGACACAAGTGCGGAATCATTCGGGACCATTCGGGACAGTGCCCCGTCCAATACTGAGAGATTATTGACCGGCAATAGAGCATTTTGATTGGTTGATTTTAGTTATTGGCCCTCTGACGGCCCGAGTCGTGTAATAATGTAATGAATTGTACTGTACTGAATAAATTCTAGTCATTCAGTTCTACTTAAACAATGTTCTGACTAGCCTTGTGTAGCTTGCAGAAGATTGAAGAATTCAAAACTTGGGAAATGCTTTTGATAGTTAAGCATTAAGGGTAAAGAGCACTCAAGTGGATAGTGGTACGAGGACCAAAAAGAGTTCAATTTGGTTTGTAAACAGGTCAACATGCAATTTATCAATCATGCGTATCATTATCGATAGAATAGGATGACACAAAGGGATGAGTCCTATTACCCATTTATAAAAACCATTGTAACACCAACATTTAATGGTCAATTTATCCATTGGCTTAACAAGAGTAAAAACATAACAGTTGACTCTTTTCCGTGAATAAGTATACCCTATGATAATTATATGAAATCCAATTAAAACTTTTGAATGACTAATGAAATCAAAATAATGAATGAATACAGTGAATAAAGTGTTGCACTCTTTTAATTATAATTTCTTTTATATTTCAGATTCCTTTTCAAAGCAAGCCTTAGGAAGTCAGTGGGATCGTATAAGAGTTACTTGCCGACAACCTTTCAGATCTGACAAGCAATTTGGGTTGTCATTCATAAAGGTAACCTCAGTAGAGGGTGAACCCCCATCATCCACTCCTGGTGGTTTGTCTGGTAAAACAGCTACCTTCGGGAAACCTTCACACAATACAGATGATGATGATGGTATAATGAGGTTAAAGAAGGCATCAGGCCTCATGGGTTGTCTTAGGTAAGATGCAATGGTTGGAGGCAAATAATCTCGGTCAGCTTCTGTCTGAATGTGCCATTATCTTTTTTCCAACAAAGATTACACAACAATAGATCAGTTGAAACTTTTTTTGGCAATTAATTTTCAGGAGTTTAGAAAAAGGAAGCCCTGTGAGTCCACTTAACAGGGCAGGAAAAATGTTACAGGCTGCTCTTGACAACAGATCTCCCACAACTCCAAGGATCAAACCTGGGGACAAAAGGTCACTGTGTGAGTTATCACCAGAATTTGCATCCAGTCCTGAAAGTCCTTACAGTCAAAGAAACTGGCGCAGTGATGGTAAGTCATCTTGTTATATGTTGGGCTACCTGTGCCCTTTTTACCATATAAAGAAAACCTCGTGGTGAGTTCAAGCAAGCAATAACTGAGAGCGACCAACCATCACTGTTACTGTGTTTGATGGTAGTTTATTTAACGGTATACTTTCGAATATATTACACGTCTTATCTAGACAAATAGTACAATAATTTGCATGAGCTAGACCTAAAGTCTATTATGTTTCAACCACATCTGCAACATAGTGTCACATGCTGATATCACCATCTCTACTTCAAACACAGACTCTAGGATTGAATGTGACAAAAATAGATGAGTGTTTGAAATGTAACTTAAGCTGTTAATAAATCACACTAAAAATCTTCCAAAAGCTGTGTTAGAATACTTGCTCCAATATCATGACCAATGTAACCGCACGCTTATGACAATGTTTATCACAGTTAATTGTGGCTTAGCTACGCATTAGTAGAAAACAGCTTTAGGAAATGCTGCAAAATTGAATAGGTGATACTATGCCAAGATGTTAACTTAAATCAGAGCCGCTTATGAATGATTGTATAAAAAGTCAGTGAAATACGCAATAAAAATCAGTTGTTACTCCTACTTGTGTGATGCCTATATTCTAGTTACAACATGGCAACATCAGTAAACCTAACAAGCTGTAAGATGTTTTCCTATGAATTCATGAATTACAGAGGAAATCTCAGTACCCTGGAACCCCACCAAACAGTCTCCACCTGACTGGCAATTTATATTCAATTTCTGAATGAGATTCCAGCCTCTTCTTGGAATCAGTACCTAGCCTTGTCATTATGGCTGACCTGACAATTATGCTTTGTAGAACTCCGTATTGCCTCTTCCCTCTTTCTGATATCTTTGCTGTATAAAAACTTCTCACTCTGACAAATCATTCTCCTTTACAGTAACAAATTTAAAGACAAAAAAGCAAGAGAGGACATGGAGCCTTGCTGGGGATGTAAGAATGGCAATTCAATCTCTTTAGTGCTCTGAAAGAAACCTCCATCTCTGCCTTAATTTCTGATCATGAACCATTATAAAAACAATTTATGGAGAAATCTTCCTCCTTTTAATGTTTTAGATTCGTGATGAAGTGGAGTTATTTCTTGAAGATATTGACTTCACAAAACTTGATCTTGACAGTGTTTCATTTAAAGGTAGTCAATTTTTATCTTAGTCGCACTCATTAACAATTGAATAAAATTCCTTCAAATGTGACTCTAACTTTTGGCTCAAAACTGAAACCTGGCAGAAAAAAATTTTCAAGTGTCTTTCACTGGACTATCTACCCGTATATTAATTCATTATGTTTGCACAGCCATGGTCCCTTGATAATTTGTTAGCATATGGAGAAACATGCCAAGTTTCTTTCAAGATTTTTGCTTCTTTTGCTTGACTAGACCAGGATGGGAAACATATCCATTATCTTCATCTTGTGGACAACAGCTTTCTTTTATGACAAGACAAATATTTTGAAGGGATTCCATGTTGTAATTTCTTTATCACAAGCTTAACAGTTTTCTGTTTAGCTACTGGTACTTGTTTATTTGTAGAAGGTTCAGAAATACAAGCATGACATTAATGTACATCAGGTACTATGTGTTTAATTGTCTATATTAAATCTCTTTTACCCAGACTTGAAGAGCCAAATGGAGGCACAGAGGGGTTGTTCTCTAACCAGCCTAGAGAAAAAGATTTTTCTTCAGGTAATTTCTGACTAGGCAATTAAAAAAAATGACTTGTAAATGATAAAATTTTGTTTGAATTGTCTCTTTAATATTCAAAGTCTTCTCTCTTTCACAGATGATAAAGGCTACTATTGAGAAACTACAACCAACTTCCTATGACAGCGACAGTGATCTAGAGGTATTTTATAGTGTGAGCACCTTCATGATTGCCTGTAGTAATACCTGTAGGACCACTATTCTCATAATAACCTGACAGAAAGAGAATTTCAGATCTTTGTGTTACAACAAGGAAGGTTTCGTGGCCAACAGATAAGTGCCAACTGCTTGTTTTACTCTAGACTTGACCCGTTTGTGGGTCCTCAGTGAAGAGAGACTCGAACACACTCTCGTCCTGATTACATCTACCTTTATTGCTAAATCAAAGTGCTTATACACATATTGGTGGCTAGCTTTCGTGTGATTAAATATGCAAGGGAAGGTGTGCCGTTTCCTTTCTGGTAAACTCCTTAGTTCAAACATGAGCATATAATGTTTTGTTCTACCCTATCTAGCTACGTAAATCCTGCTCTGTTAAGATTACACTTTGCACATTTTTGCATTTCACAAGGATCAGATTTCTGCTTTACAATAACGTAGTAATTGATCTATTCTTAAACTTAGGGTAACAGGTCATGTTTCATTGCACGGGTCACGCTTTATTTTATTAGTTTTACTACATTTGCAACAAACAACAATATCCTCACTTCAATTTTTCTTTGTTTCTGAATTTGATGGCTGGAAATTCTCCACTTTCAGGACGTTCTGGAATTGTCCACAAACAATAATACAGGTCCAAATCTTCAAATCGGCAAACAGCTCAGTGAAGAACAGAGGAAGTCCAAGGAAAGGTTAGATATTAAGTAAGGACCACCTATGTAACACATTCCAGTAATGATTCATATCTTTATACACTTAATCCTCCTTGAGCCTTCTATAGTGGGATTATAACAAATAAATATATCTTATTAGACGTTTTGTTGTGTAGTATTGCCGAGTATTTTTATGAGTTCTGCAGTACAAGCCGGTAGGATGAGTCAAAATACATACAAGTAAAAATACTCAGTGATATACTATACAACAAAACGTTTAATAAGAGATTTATTATCCAACAGGCCAAATTGTTATTTCAGTGTGGGCGAATTTCGCAGATATTTCTGGAGTACAAATATCACATGATATTTGTGCTCGTCTGGTGCATTATTTGTACTCTACGAAGCACATTTGGATAATAAGAGGTCTTATTGAGTGTTATCCTCCTGGGAAAGGTGCAATTAACACAGGCAATATCAGCTCTTATTACAAACATTCATTTTCTTTGTTTACATGGATAACTATTGAATAGGGGTTTGTTATAGAAGAACCTGTAACAAGGTGACTGCTCATCATGCAAAGTTACACCAATCTTGTTTAATTATAGCTAACATCTTACAATCTTACAGTCTTTACAGTACTGCAAAATCTACTTCAGAAGAGAAATCACCCGCAACTAAAAACCAAAGTCAGTCTCCAGATTTGATATCAGCTGTATCTGTATCTGAACACAAAAGCCATAGAAGTAAGAAGCAGCTAATTCTTCCTGATGACATATTTGAGGTGGACATCCCATCATCTTCTTCAAGGTTTCTTGAGGATGACACAGAAGAACTCCCATCAATGTTAGATTCTTCTGCTGATAAGCCACCAAAACAAGAGCTTTTCCACTGTGGTGACTATGGATTGTTGCCATCATCTGCTAAGAAGACATCATCAGAATCTCTGGTGGAATGCCCGATCTGTAGCATGTTCTTTCCATCAACAAGGATTGAAATTCATGCAGCTTTGTGCAATAATGAAACAGGTGTTCCTCAAAATAATGCTACCCTTGAAGATGACCGTATTCCATGTCCAATATGTTCCAAATTTTTTCCTCTGGCTCAGATTGAACAACATGCTGATGTTTGTGTAGAGACAAACAGTTGCAATCATGGTAGCAAACACATGGGGAGAGAAGTAGTTTCTAGCTTGAACTAGGTCAGGGGATTTATTAAAAGGTAAAAAATGAATAATTAAATTTATTTTTATTACGATATAAATTTGTATGCACATGAGATATCATTAATATTCATTTCACAGTTGATTAAAAAAATGTCTTTCAAAGATAACGGTCAATTTACTTTGTTTTTAAAATACTCTGTTTGAGATTGATCTAAACAGGTGATCTTTGAAACCTGTACATATCAGGAGAAAAGTTAATTTTGTTCCATGATACTGTTGTGTTGTGTTGTGTTTAGTATAACAGCATAATAAGTTTGCACTCAATGAAGTCAGTCATTTAAATTAAGCAGTTCATTTTGCCTTCCTTGGAAATGTGACTTGAAATGAAAGTTTGAAATACTTTAGAGGTATAATTATTTTCTTTGATTGCATGCTTACACAGACAGACAGAAGTACTATGTACACACATTCCAACCCTGAGTGTAAAATTATCTCATTGAGTTACATGAAAATATTTTAAATTAGATACTTGTCAGTTTCATATAAACAACAAAAAGGACTTGTGTCTACTGGTGGTCTTTTTCAATAGATTCTTTAACCTCCTTACCTGTATCTGTGTGATTTACCATTGATCACTTTTATCAATTCTATACATTTCACTTGTGCTGGTTGTCAGTTCCACTGTATGAGTATGCAATTCTTTACTCAAAGTGTTCACTTAATACTCTTACTGTCTTACTATACTGGAGTAAAATTCAGATTGAAATTGTAAAATATTAATATCACTGCTCACCATATTTACCCAAACCCTAGTTTGGGTAAGTATAGTGACATGGTCACATGCACCCACCAAACCCAAATACAGTACCACATTTGAGTAAGTGCAGTATGACAAGTCTTTAATGATGCAGACAGCTCTCAATTAACATAAATACAAGATGTATTTAAAAGCAGGATCAATGTGGTTCTATTGAGCCTTAAATTATCAATATATCACGCTTGTTACACTTTGAATTTGCTTGAAAACAGCTAGCAAGTTACTGAATAAGACATTGATGAAATGGGGTGATAATGGCTTAAAAAAAATGCAAAACCTGACATATCTAAATTGAATATTTACAGTTCCTAACTTGTAAAAACACAGTTCAAAAATCAAGTCCATCCAGAACAGACTGTGGTACATCCACCTCATGTGTTGCCTCCCAGAAATCTATGGGTAAAAAGCTGTCTGAGGGAATCATTTCATCTTTGTTGATATGCATTACTTGGCAGTCAGTGAGAAGCTTAGCTACATCATCCCAGCTGGTCATTAGACCACTCTTCATGCTTTCCTTCTGTCCACAATTGCAAAGCAAATCCCTATAGGTAAAATTTGATTAGACTTTCTGAAAACTAACTTTCCTTAAAAAAAAAACAACAACAACAACTTTGAAGCTTAGACATTTCACAAAGCACATCACAAACATGCATGGTTTCACTTTTTTTTTTTTTTTTTTTTTTTTTTTTAAACCAAAACAAAACAAAAAACATGGTCTCCGGTTCACAAAAATGATTGTAAACAGGTAAAATCATCATGTAAAGCTCTTCCTTGGATATATGAATTACTATTACCACCATCTTGAAACTCTCAAAATATTGCTAGCAAAATTTTAAAAATAGTTATTGAATATTTTAAAGTTTTTATAAGTACACAAGAGAGAAAACAAACAAGAGTACCTTGTAATTGAAGCCTGTTTGTCTTTGTTTTCACATGTGTCTGCAAAGTTAAAAGCCAAGACATAACCATGAGAAACTAAAACAAATTCACGTTTCTATTCAGCTGCAAATAATTAAAAAGTAGGTGTACTAGTACCTTTTTCTTTGGATGGTATTGTGAATAATGCAAGAGGTTTGCCTTTGAAATGGACCTGAAAAGAAACAAAACCATACTGATTCAAAGCTAGAGTTATCATGTATGAGGAAAGCTTGCATGGCATAAGATCTCTGCAAGTTGGTTTTAAATAGCTGTCACTCAATTTCAAAGTTCATTTTAAATGTTATCCTGACATTATCATTATTATTTTTGGAACCATTGCTGTAAGTGGTCAGTGGAAAATTACATTTGCCACTTGCTTTAATTTGTTTTTGCCAGACAAACTTTCCTAAAAATATTATTTGTCAGTGCATGTTTCTCAATTTGTTTGTACACATTTGTATCCTTATTTAGTAGTAAAGTAAAGTCTGTTTACGAGCCTAGTGGCCCATTAGGCCGGTGCTTAACTCCGGTTTCTGTAGCATGAAGCGACTAGGAGTATTTCTACTCCCCCCTGGATGGGATGCCACTCCATCGCAGGGTTACCCCCAGCATTAAATTGCCGGTACCCATTTATACACCTGGGTGAAGAGACGCACTGTGAGAGTAAAGTGTCTTGCCTAAGAACACAACACAATGTCCCGGCCGGGCCTCAAACCCTGACGACTCGATCCAGAGTCGAGCGGACTAACCATGAGGCCACCATGACTCCATGTATCCTTATTTAGAAATTATTAATTTAATATCTACTTACCATCTTGTATGCATGAGATTGCTTAATGGTATTCCAACTTCCTGTTACTGCCCTCATCCAAGCCATTGGAGTACGAAATGTCTCTCCACCTGCAGACTCTATTAAGCCATTTGACCTTAAAGAAGCCTCAAAATTCCTTCCCTATTAGGGTAAATGTGATAGAATAACTGGTTTTAAGTCTGATATTCAAAAAAGGCTTCACACTGCTAGAGTTTTTTTTCGAGGCTAGATCCACATCACTGTGTAAAATAATTAATACATTGAAATAAAACCCTTCACATCTGAACATCAGTATAAATATTCTCTACACTGTTCTCCACACGTTTCCTAATACATTTCCTCCATACATTTCTAAAACATCTTGCAAGAATATAGCTTCTTTAGTTGGTGATCATTTCCTTTATTCTCGTGACCTTAATGTGTGACTCAGGGGGTTAATGTTGTATGGAGAAATTAGATGCTAGTCACTCATTGGTCAAAGAATTAATTATACCTACTCATAACTATTGTGAGCAAATTAAATCACTCCAAAGTTTGAAAACCAAACTTAACATATGAATAATTTATTCTTCCTTTGTTAACATTTTATTGTTGATCTGGGCCCAGTTGTTCAAAGACCGATTAGCTCTAACCCAGGGTTAAATTTTAATCCAGGTTTCTATACTTCTCTGTTCAAAAGCCTTTTTAAGATAATTTCCCAATTCTTCTTAGAGCATTTCCTTACCAAATTGTAAACAAATGGAATTAAAGTGAATTGAATTTTAAAGCTTTCAGATCTGCAATTAAATTTCAAAGTAACCCTGGGTTATCTTAACCACCTTTGAACAACCCGGCCCTGGACGTTATGCCAGGAAGACATCTGACAAGCAATCAGAAGGTCTGACATTTGAACCCCAAGATTTTATCCTGAACAGAAATGCTCTGAAATTCATGGCAGAATACCAGTGTAGCGTTTATGGACACCAAAATCTAAATTCTCAAGTTCAAGGGCGTGTTCCTCCAAAATGCGGTTAAGGAGGTGATTGGGACTATTTTACTGATTGAAATGACAAACCAAAGTTGACTATTTGCACGAATCTTTGTTCTTGAAAGGCAATCGACCATGAACCACAATCAACAATGAATATAATGATTATTCTCACAGTCAATCAATCTATCGAATGATCGATCGTAAAATATCGGTCCCCCTTGTGCCAGAGGTTGAGAAAACGAAAGGGCGAAAGTTTACCAAGAGTATTCAAAACTTACGAAGAACTGATTAAAGGGACGCTAAACTTGCCTTTTATATGTGTGTGGTGACGCTGAAAGGTCCGATTACAAAACCAATAGAAAAACAGATAACCATTGTAACTATGTGGCTATCTAAAATCATTCTGAAATCATTCTGAAATTGGTGAATTAATCAATAATCAATCAAAAAATGAGCCTTCTGGCTAATGTCCTTACAACCAGTCAAACAAAATGTGTGCCTCTTTCATATTTATGTCATTAGTGCTTGTAAAAATAAGAATCATTGGGCTGGATAAAACATGACAAACAATTTCCTCAACTAGAAGCAGAAGAGCTAGATTATAATTATTCTTTTGTTTTAACTAGTAATAATCAGAATAAAATATCCACCTCATGTTGTATTGAAAGGACATTCATGCCTGCTTCAATAACATTGTGGCTAATAAGGGTTTTTATGTCAGGAAGGTCTGAGCCAAATGAACCTTTTCTTTGTAAGCTTGAACTCCTTCCTGACTGCACTGTCTGCAACAAAAAAAAAACTTACGATTAACTCAATGATTGCCCTCACCTAAGTGGTAAACTTCAGTGAAGGAATTTATATTCTTGAGGGAATTTTATCAGCACTATGTTAGAAAAATACCTAACTTCAAGGTGCATAGTAAAATCCTGTTTGTTAATCCCCTATCCAAAAGCTAATTCACTGACAAAGTAAGCAGAATTTGTAACCATATTTGTAGGATTTCATACACTTTTATTTCACTATAATCTTTTTGGTGCAACATGTTCTAGATATTGGTACTACAGTAACTACCTAGTTAAAATGTTCCAAATTATGAACAAGTCTAGTGCATATAGAGTATACAGTAAACTTGTTCAAATTTTTTATTGAAACTCACTGGTCCTTTCAATGGAGTGGAAGTTGTTTTGGTGGCATGTAATTTACTTGGTCCTCCAGATGGAATCTGGGAGGATGTGTTGACTGGTGACTTGGTCCAGGCTCCTGGTTGAGGCTGTGATACTGTCATGGAGTTCATACTTGACACTTGTGAAGGGGTACTGGTTCTTTGGCCTGCAAGGGTTGCTTGTTTAAGCACCTGACTGCTATTTTCACTGCAAAGCATAAGTGAGCTTTGCAAGGTTGAACTGGTAATTGGATATCTCACTGCTGGAACTAACTGTGTACTTTTACTAAGAGATGTGGTGACTGAAATGGGTTGCAATGAAGCAGAACAATTTAATACAGAAGCATTGACACTGGACATCAAAGAAGACTCCTCGGGTATTCCACTGAGCCAAGTACAGCTTATCCCTGATTGGGCATTGGAAACATATTCTGTGACAACCTTTGTATCTGTTGCTGATGCAGAGGTCACTGAATTGGAAGACAGACTTGGTGTGGTAGCATGGGCCTGAGCTGCTTGTGCAAAGGCAAATGACTTTGCAACACTTGTATTAAGTCCTCTTGGCAGCACATTAACTTGCTTTCCTTCTACATAACAGACCTGACCACCAGTTAAGACTGTATCTTGAATTCTTGACTGAAGTATAGGACTGGTCATTGAGGTATGAGTTGCAGTTGATACATGTCTCACATTTGTAGGATTGTAACTTGGCATCACCAGACAAGGCTGAGTTTGATCTTCCAAGGTTGTGCAATGTGAGATGGTGGAAAACGTTAAGTGCTGGGAACAGATGCTGGTGGCACAATTCATGGTTTTTGTACATACTGTGTCTGATGATAAATTTATATTTGATGCCAATGTAGTCATTGATGCAGTTGACAGAGTACTCTTTTCTTTACTTTCTTGCTGCATGTTCTTCACTCCACGAGATTTACAGTGCACCTCTACAGCCGGTATAACATGCTCAGGAAGTGTCTTGGCCTTTTGCTTTAATGCTTGTATTTTCTCAAAAAGTTTCTTCTGACCTTGTAATAGTTTTAACAACTCCTTTTGTTGAGCTGCAAGCTCAAGCAGCTTACACCTAGCATCGTAAGTCCCCTGTGATGACAAGCCATCTTGGTTAGTCTTTGGCTCAACATTAAAATTTACAATTTGTTGTCTTTGCTGTTGCTGGTAGTGGGTGAAGTGAGCAAGTTGAGTTTTAACTGCAGTCATCAGCTGTTTGACTCGAGGAAAGACTGAACTTTCTTTGAGTGGAATTCCTAAAAAGTTATAAAAACAATTCGCGTTAGTCTAAAATCACCTAGTGGAATTCTCAGGCCCCCTTAAAACACAACGCACTTCTGCCTCCTCAACCGAACTTCTGACTAACATTTTTTCTTACATTTTGTTTTATTTTATTCTTACCTCTCGCCAAGTCTGACTCGAGTGAAACCAATAATTCCTCAATTTTATCTTCTTTTTCCTTGATTGATAATAGTTTTTCCCCATCTTGTTTGTCTTTGGTTGTTGAGGAAGCCCAAGAGCTCTTCAGTTCTTCACCACCACGTGTTTTTGCAGTTCCTGTCTTCTCATTGATTGCTAGTTTCTGGACTTTTGCTTCCGGAGGGAGGAACTCTGGGGAGCTAGGGGAATCCCCTGTGGTTGGAACATCACCTAAAGCACTTTTGTTCAACATGTAATTCCTGTTATTAAGAAAGAAACAAGCGCAAGACTCATTTAAAATCATCTGTGCCTAACGTACTTAACTTGATGACAATGTTCACCTTGGTTTTGCAGCGATTATGGAAGGAGATAGTCTAAACGGGCTCTCTGTGGCTGGATCGTCAACTTCCTCGCACACGGTTTCGTCGCTATCACTCATTCTCTGCAATTGTCCAACTCCTTCGTTAACAAGGAACGGAACAGCCCTCCTTTAATTTATAGCCGTCGTAAAAACTTACAGTAGTTCGAACGAGGAAAGGTGCGAAATTTTCCCGTTCCCAGGACCTCGGTGCGGGGAACATTTCTATGTTGATGGATCGCCAATCAGAAGATTCAAAATAAAAATTTCTTATCCTTTCAGATGGACTTTTTTCGTTTCGAGAGAATTTACCCATTTCGTTTTAGTTACCGGCTTTTAAAAAGTTTTTCCACAAAATGATGATCTTAAAATCTTTTAGTTTTGCCTCAAGCGTATCTCTTTTGATTGTGATGTAGTATTTCTAATGTAAAATCTAGAAACCACGATGTGAAAATTCGAAATATCCATGGAAAAAAAAAGGGACATTGAGTCACTTTCTATATTACAAAAAAAAAAATTGTGCCGAGACCCGGGATTGTTCAGAGCTCACAAGAGCTCTCCGGATTTTTGAACCAGGGACCTTCAGATCTTCAGTCTGACGCTCTCCCAACTGAGCTATCTCGGCAAGCACATACCTTAAGTGGTCCATTATTAATAGATATACTCTTTTTACTCAAATCTGTTGCATGCCTTCTCGTTTCTTGTTGTTTTGATATTCAGTCGCCGCTAGTACTCTTTCCCGACACAAAAAAAAAACAACATTTGTGAATGTAACCTGAAAAACTCTTCTTTTGTTCTAACGCTTTTACTCGAAGGCCCAGTTTCCTTCAGCCAAAAAGAGAGAGGACTGGGTATGGGTAACACAAATGTCAAATACTGAATGGTTTGCTGAGGTAAACTCAGCCACACTGTAGTCGCTATGTTACAATAATGATCATCTTATGTTTCTCCTTAGCTATCGGGGTTTCTCGATGATGAAAGATTCCCTAAATATCCTTGGAAAATTATTTAATAAAAAAGCATCCTCAGCATTCGTATGAGGTGTGCATAATCGGCTTGGCTTTGATTGAAAATCACAGGAAAAGTTCGTTGTTTTGTTTGTTTTGTTTTGTTTTGTTTTTTTTTTTCTGCTCGGGGCTGGTGCATTCAATATATAGTGTGGGCGAGAAATTAACTCCTACGCGAATCTTATAATTATCGGTTATGAGTCGTTGCGCTCTATTGCCAAAGGCAGACGTCCACCAACATTCTTGTAATGAATCACATCTTTCCTGTTGACGGAAAAGTTTAAATTCATGAAAATAAATGTTTTCTAAAGCACACATCAAATGCTTACGTTAACTTTGCACTTAATTTTGCGTTGTATCAGAGAAACGTTTTAATAATTGCCTCAACAATCTCAGCACCGGCTTTGATTTGTTTCGCTTCCTTTACGTTTTTTCCTTTAACATGTCTCGCCAAGAACCAAATCGCTAGAGTTTTTTGTAATTCTCTTTGCCAGAAATTTGAATGACCTCACTTACAAAAGCCTACAGCAACCCACTCTTCACTTCCTTTACCAGAATGCTTTGATAGATTTGATAAAAAACTAGTGCATTATTTCGCAAGTTAAAATTCTGTATTCTTAGCCAAATTAGTGTTGTTTTGCGCACTTCTCACTATATGATTAGCACGTCAACGGAAGACAATGGTTTTTTTTTCTTTTAATTTCATCTACATGTCGGCTTTCACGGAGAAAAACATTGTCATAAAATCGTTTCCGACACCGGAAAATGGGCTGGTTGCGTTTAGGGTGCTAACAAAACGAGAAATAATACACTTTCCACGAAAAAGATTTTCTTTAGTTGGTCAAGGATAGTTTCCTCCCTGCCGACAGTTTTTTTACTGAGTGTTTTCGCTGCATATTTTACTCGCACGACTTGTTCATGGTTTAAGAGAAGTTGGTGTTATTGTTTTAGTCGAGCCAATGAAACGCGATGGTTATAATGGTGTAATATGTTTTTGCGTAGGAGCACTCGGCTGGCGGAACCATTTTGTTTTATTTACTATAGCGAAGACATTAATAAGAAAAAAAGTGAGGTCAAGTGACATGTTTTCAAGAGGAGACGCGCTCAACATCTGATGTTTATTTTGCTTCTTGGGAGCCCGAGACCAGTTCCGTCTGATTTCTGTTTGTTGCCGGCCGCTTATATTCGTGTAAAAACGTGGCAAAGCTTACCTATAGCTTGTACTGAATCAGAGCCCCGCCATACTTCAATTCTTCCCTAAAAAGATCCCACGAGGACAAATACTTCCGTGCAATCAGGAACAATTCTCTGATTGTTATTTTAGCCTTTGGTGAAGTTGTCGTATCATTTCTAGCATGGAAACTTTCTTAACTGGAGCTGGGGATAAGATCGACTTCTTTTCAAACCAGAATGGATACTCTTTCTCTAAGCTTTCGCGTTTTGCTCATGGAAAAAAAGTGAAAGATAATGAGAGCTTTACGTCGGTTAAGGAAGAAAGTTCAGACATTTTGGTGTCGGAAGGGAACGGCAGTGGCTCCGAAATGGACATTACCGAGGAGTACCCGAGCGAAACTCGAGCGATAACGAGAAAAGATTCGACATTCTGCGTTCCACTGATTCGCGTCGAGGATTGGAGCTTTTCAGAAAGTGATATGGAAGATGACTTAGAGGATTCCCTGCCGCCATTTAGCTTTGTCGGAACTAAGGAAAAGGTAAAGCTTATTTAGTTTTAATTTTTTTTCGAGTAAATTTCTGCTTTCTCATCATAAGAGGACGCAAAAAGAAAAAAAAATGTGGGTTGAGAGCGGACAGAGCAATCGTTCTGAAAAATAAGCAAAAGTATCAGAATTACACTTCGTTATTTATATTGAAATGACGTAAATCGCTGAGGATAATAAAGGCTTAACTTCATACGGGTTTCATAAAGTTTGTATCAACAAAACATAGTTTACAAAACAATTAAGCCTTAAGAACTCACTGTTGAATTCTACTGAAAACTACCTATCTCGCACGAAACTTCGTCGCTTCTGAAAACGTCGAAATGCGAAACGTGTTTCAAAATACGCGTGAATTACACCGACTGTCACGGATTCTTACTGAGAAAAAAGGTCCACTCGTTGTAGATTGCATGGAAAAATTGATTTGCTTTGGCGACAATAGTTCCATTGTTTTGTTGCAGAAAACATAGTCATATGTTTGTTATTTCGATTTGTCTTAATGCTTCTTATATTCCTGTGGCGCTTTTAAAAGGAAGTACAGTTTCCGACCACGAAACTTTAATTTAGTAAAGTATCAAATGACTTTTCGAGTATGGAAAATAGATATTAATGTTGCACTCCCAAAAGATATTTCTGAGCCTTTCTGAGGCTCTTCTGAGCTTCTTTTAGAAGTAATGTCGCGCGGCTGAGAATTATTATGGAAAATTATTTTAGGTTGACGTAGTTTAAAATTTGCGTAAGAATCCTTCCAAGGAAAGAAGAGTGGACCAAAACATTTTTGTTGACTGTTTAAGTCTTATTGACAGTTATTGATGTGCAATGCGCTCGAAACAGAAAGCCTCAAATGCGCAAAGCAATTAGTGAAAAGGGAAAACGCCCCTCGAAAAGGAAAATAAAATCAAAAACAAACCTAAAACCTGAAATAGGCTGATCTACCCTTAAGCCATAGTAATGTAAAAAAATACAAATTGAAGTGCTGTGTTTTGAAAATACTTTACGAAATGAGATTTCCGATGATGGAGCACTTAGTGAAAAAAAAAAAAAAACTCTTTTTAATAAAACAAAAAGAGCCATAAGACAAGTACGGACAAAAGTTTCAGTTGTACATAAATGGCCAATGAAATTCTAATATTTTTACGAATTGTATTTATTTAAAAAGTTATTACGGAAGAGCGTAAGGCCGACAAATGTATTAATATATGGATTATGCCGGGGAGTAAAAAAAACAGAACGATAATAGTCATAAATTCAGTCATTTCATTATGTCTACGTTTGGTGGAAACAGATTAAGAAACGACGTAGTTAAAGTTTCCAGAGTATACGATTTCAGGGGCCCATTAACGGTTTCTCTCGAATAATAATTCTAAATTGAATGGACAACAATGACAGTCGACATTTACATGACTAGATTTTATCAAAATGAACTTGAAAGCGCGACAACTGAATTTTAATGTCAATATATGAACAAATTAGCACAATAAAGAGAAAAAGTACATTTATGGTGAATTTTTAACTTTTTTTGCGTTTGCTTCGTTTCGATTTCACAACTTGGCGGGTTGTTTCTTTTTTAACTTCACGAAAATGAACAAAGCAGCTAAGTAGTCACGGTTTTCATCTTCTCTATACATTTTGCTTTCTAAATATTAATTTTTTACAGTGAGCGATTCTTCCTGTTTTCTCCTCAGAATTCTATTGAATTTGGAAAGTGTCGGAGCAGATCTCGCTCCATCTAGAGAGAAGCAGTAACCATCAGCGACGGCAGGTGTTCCTACTTGGAATTTCTTTAAATGAAGTCAATACTACTTACGTATCATACAATTCAGTAGTACTATAAAATACAATTCTTCATTGGTTATAGGGCCACACCCTTGTATCCCCAAAAACCTAGAACCTATTCTGTTTCAGATAATTGAACAAACCAGCATTTCGTGTCATAGGGTTCGATTTTATTTGTAGAATTAAACACCGGGTTGAGGGCATAAAGACGCATTCTAATCAGTACCTGTGTCCTGCAAAAGTATATATTTCATTATATTCTAACTCAATCTAACATAGTAATTTATGACGAGCGTCAGTATAGATAACCTTGCTCAGATCTCTTTTTGGTTAAATTAAAGTTCAAGATAAATAGTACTGGGAAAGTTGAGTGCTGTAAATCTTTACAAACTGGAAGCAGACGAAAAGAATTTAACGTTTGCCTGTTGATGTTTGCCGTTAACATCATGCTTCTATTTCCGTAGTAATGAATGTGTTTTTTGTTCCCTAGAGTCATAACGTGAAATATTTTTACGATGTACGATGGCATGTGAAAACCTAGAATAAACAAAGCCAACAGACTATTCTTCATTTGTTTTTTTTTTTGTTTTTTTTCGCAACAACATTAAAATACCTTGTGTAATAAGCCATTCTGCTAACTGTAAACTCATTAACCCTTCGTTTCTGAGAGGTCATCAACATGTAACTTCCCCTCATGAATTCCACACATTATCCAGCAGAAAGGTAATGAGAATTACTCAAACTAGTCGATAGAAGTTGTTTCCTCGATCTAACACTAAATTCTCGTAATTAATTTACAACGAAATGTGTAGCAGCTAGCGGAGAGAATTTATAAACAGATCTTGGGTGTTTCGCACTATTGATCACTGAATTCAATCTGTAAAGATTGTTTACTTCCTGTAAGCCCATCGCTCCGAATTTCCACAGTGAAAGAGTCGGCGACTTTGTAAAAAATGAACTTGAAAGCTTTTGTGAAAAGGGCTGGATTAAGATAATACTCACTTGTCAGACTAATGAAAAAGAAGAAGAACATTTGCATAACATTCAAATGCTACAATTGACTTCAAAGACTCTGCGGTGCAAATTAGTTTGGGCCATTGTTTTATAAGTGTACATTAAATGAACACGCAAGAGGTAATCATGGCTTCTGAGGATACACACCAATCGAAGAAGATCTAAAAGGATAGTTGGAAGGAAAGATATTTTACTCGGATCTTTCAATACGAGGTTGTGAAGGGTTTAATTTCAACCGACCTTGCATAAGGTAGAAAGACTGCAATGAGGCTGGCATTCAAATAATTTCGGCGGCTTTGTCTAACCCAGGTGCGTGTGCAAGTTTGACTGCTAAGTGATATTTGTTTGTTGATGCTATCTCTGACATACTTGTAAAACAGGAAGACTCGAGACTTAAAACGTTTCTGTTCCTTGGATATTCAACATTAAATTGACGGAAATTGCGCTGGGAGGCAAACGGAAATCAAACTAATGGTGTCTTATCAAGTAAGATCATTTTAATAACTAGCGCGTATACAATGTTTAAAGTCACTAAATGTACTTGCCGACCAGAATCATAAGCTACGTATTCATAAAAAAAAACAGAGATTTATTTAAAATTTTTAATGTGAGAATGTTAACAAAGTGTATTACTTTTGGTGACTAAAGGCGCAATTAGATATTGCATAGAGTCAGACTAAATGGTATATACTGACATATAACACTCTTCAATTACCCACTTCTTTCCAACACGTCTAGATTTCAAATTAGATACTCTTCGACATCGAGGTTGTAAAGCGGAATATGAAAACCTGAGCGGTTGTGGTCTCAAGTTTTTCAAAAAGTTGAAGAGTCGGGGAAGTATTATCAAAGAAGTCGAACATGTTAAAACGAGTTAGGAGGCGATCCAGTAAACATCAGGTAAACACGTCATTGTTTATGATTTTAATCATCGACGAGTCTCAGTTTTTTCGAATAATTTCAAGATTTTCAAAGTCCAGTCCTCTCTAATGAGCTATTGTCGGCATGTGGAGATGGCAATTGTTCGTAAATATGACAAATGGAAGTTATTGTTAACCAATAACATGCAATACCCATTTGGGATGTTTACACTATCGATGGTCTGACAGACTGCACGCGGAAAAAAGGCAGACTCACTCTATATCAACAAAATAAACTTCGGGCTTCTGTTCCAGCGTCATAAAGGTTTTAAAATCCAAATAACCTCTGGTCGCTTCAGAGAGGAAAACTTTAACAAGAAGGGTGCACTTCAAAGGAGCACCGAACACTTCAACCAAAGTCCAATTATTCTCTAATAGATACAATTGGTATTACTTAGTAACAATGTTATTTGTCCAAGTATCCACAACAGTCCCACTGATGCTGATTTCAAGTTCAACCGTGCAACTCAAACCTTATACAAGAGGGAGGCTCGTTTGAATAAACATTTACGAATAGAGCGAAGGGCTAACGCTCTAAACATCAGTTTTGGAAACCCTTCAGGGTGGCCAGTTTACATTATCAACTCAGTGGCAAGACAATTTGTCTTGTAACCTCCCAACCCCCCCTCCCCCCTCCCCCCAGGCAGCACCACAGTTTATTCAGAAACTTACCCCATTTATTCGTTAGTGAACACCTTTCGGCCAATTAACGAACATTTTTTTTAGGGAGTCGATTACCCTCTAGCGAGACCTGGGCTGATATAGAGCAAAAACAGTGAGGAAATGAAAGGGTACAACTTCAATTTAAACTTCTCATGATAATTTTGGAGTCTCTTGGTATCTTTTTTATTGTAAAAAAAAAATATCCAAAAATTAGGAGGTGCATCCCAAACTGAACCTTTTGTTTGGTTACTTCAAAAAGAAAGGTGCGATTTACGTCAATTTGACTAAGGTAAATTATTGTTTTCAGAATAAGAGCCCGATTAACATTGGATCTGAATGTGGTAATGAAGTATAACGTTAGGAAGTAATCAGCGTACATGATATTCATTAACTTTCATCAATCGTACATTTTAAAAGGATTTGTTCGAGTAATTAGTGATAATTATCTGTCATATTCTGTTTTTCGCAGCTCATAGAAAAACCTGAAGATTTAAGTAATTCAGGGAAGAAAGACAGTACATCGAACGATGAGATTTTAGAAGGAATTATCTCGGAACTTCGATCTGAGGTGAAAACTCTTAAGGAACAGCTGGAACAAGAAAAGAAGGCCGGGAGTGATGTGAAGAGTTTGAAAACACAACAAATATGTACATTAACATTTAAACTTGCAAACGCAGTGAGACAGAGAGAGCTAGCCGAAGGAGAACTGGCTAAGGTGAAAAAAGAAATGGAAGAACTGAAAGAGGTAATGGAGGCACAAAATGAAGAACTGAAGGCTAAAGAAGAGGAAGGTGGAAACGATGGCAGTGGGAAGCAGGTGGTATCTGTCCCACCAGAGGGTGCTGTGGAAGAAACGAGCGAAGTAAACGTACGAGAAAATATAGCTACAGACACCATCTTTTTGTCTACTCCTGAAAAGGACGAAAGAAACGGAGTGGATGATTTTGTGGAGAGTGGAGAAGTTTCTTTATCTTTAGACGAAAAATGCGATAAGCTTTCTAACGATAACAGTCTGCATGAAGATGGGTCGACAGAGGTACGCCGCCAAGACATCCCTCGTGTTGTTGGTTTATTGAGTTCATCATCAGAATTAAGGGATGAGGATTCTACAAAAGAAAATTTGTCCTTTCAACATAAAAGCGAAGATGTCTCCCTGCTTGATGCATCCTTGCAGAGTTCGTTATCCGGACTATCTTATATAAATGGAGAAAGTCCTGGAGAACACGGTGAAGAACTGGAGAAGATTCGGGAAGATGGTTGCAAAGTACAAGAAAACGCAATTAAAATTTCAAATACAAGCTATGAGCTGGTGGAGGATATGCAACATGCTACTGCACAGAAAAATACCTTAGAAACGTTAAGTCCGTGTTCAGTGCAGAACCACACACGAATACCCCCAAAGCTTATTGAAGAAGATCAGAATTCATCCCCGCTCACCTCCCCAAAGGAAGTTTTTTGTAAAGTACAAGAGAACTCAATTAAATTGTCAGACACAAGCTATGAGTTGGCAGAGGATGTGCAACATGCCACTGAACAGAAAACTAATAATACCATAGAAACGCAAAGTCCGAGTTCAGTACAAAACTACCCGCGAATACCCCTAAAGATTATCGAGGAAGATCAGAATTCATCCCCCCTCACCTCTCCCAAGGCTATAAACTACACCGAGGAAAAGTTTGGAACATTTCTAGCGGATAATGGAGTAAGTAATCATAACCCTCTCTTGTTCTTTGGAGAGAAAGACGAAGAACCAGAAACTCACCTCAAGGGAGGTGGAGAAAACTTGACAAGAGGACACGGAACAGTGCAAGAGAGAACAGCTTTAGAGAGTTTTCTCAATAAAGGATCGGTTCCAAGAGGTTTTGAGACTGGAGATTACAAACGTTCTGACAAGATTTCTTTGAGTACCAAAACTTCCGAAAATGACACGGACAATTACATCCGAAAGGGTGGTGAAAACGAGTTCTTCTCGCAGACCGTGAGCGAAGAGGTCGAGAATTTGAAGCAACAGTTAAAAAGTGCCATGCAGAAGATTGAAGAACTGAGACTTGAAAACAAAGAAATGAAGATAGAAATTGGAAACTTGTCTCCTTCAACAGCTGAGAAAGCATTCCTTTTAAAAACAACAAAATTTACTGATCGACTATTGAGAGACATGAAAGAAAGAGAGGCAAAGGTGCAGGTCCGGCAGCTGAAGTCGTCTGTTCGACTCCCGGAGCTAAGTCAAGTTGGTTTGACAGGAGATGTTGGAAGAAAAACGTCAACACCGCTGAAGATCATCGGTGAAAAATTGAAAGAAATCACAAGGTCAGTAGAAAACATGGCTATCGATTCAGAGTCATGTGAAGAAACCTCTACAAATATCAGCACATCATATTTTTTGGATTTGAATTCACCATATCAAAACTGTCCTTTTGAAATGGAGGATCCTTTAATCATACCACCAGAATCTTCTAAAACATTCACTGCACAAAGCGCACCGTTTGATCAAGACAATTCAGGGCAAACCCAAAGAAGATATTATACTTCTGTGCGGAAGCTTGGGGAGGAGAATCTTCTCTCTCCAACAAAATACCACCACCGGCTCACAGAGAGAGATTTCAGCCAGAGAGAAAACGCATTTCAACTTACCGATGAACTTACACATGCGCAAGAACGCTGCTTATACGAAAGCCCCAGCAGCAGATGGAAGCTTCACGTCGATGCTCCTGACTATGTTCGGCGGTATGTGGTCCGCTCTTCTGTTCATATCGCTAACATGCGAGACTTAAAGCCGGAAGAAATCGCTTTCTATTCAACGCTAAGTTATAAGTAAGTGGCTTGTCTCTACAGATTTTTTTTACTCACAAGCATGGAACTGGACCGGCATGCTCTTTTTTCAGATAAGTTTCCAACTTTTTATAAAAATTTGTGCCATGGCGGCATTGCCTTGTATGCTTGAATGGAACTGAGAAAATTTGTGTGACGGGGGGTCTAGCTAGGATTTTTAGAGGGGGGAGGGGTCATTGCATTCGCACGTCTTAACCAACTCGAATATTTGTATGTTGTTGACTTAAAGTAGAAGATCACTTGGGGGATGATAGGGGGCACACCAACGTCCCCCTCCCCCCCTTCTAGCTATGCCACCAGTGTGATCTGCATAACTTCGTATCTACACTGCCACCTCAGTCCAAGGCTCGGCAGAGTTTGTGTTGACAGCACTCTTGCTTGCTCTATATATTACGCTTGTTATACTCTGTGTTTCAAGACTGAAGACAGTGAAAACTGAATGCAGGAAGGGAAGTAACTACGACAACGCTATCTTGAATCCTAGTGGAGTGTTTACATATAAGATTGATTACATAATGAAAAAGAAGACACGTGAAAAGCATGTTATTTAACATTTATTGTAAGCAACTCATTTCATTTGCATCCGAGTTCTCAATTAGCAACTGTTTGTACTCACTACGTACGCGTTAATTAATCATAAGAATGCTGACAAAGGCCGCCGATGCGTCAACTTATCTTAATCCAAAATCCATATACAGTCCTCAGAATATTGTGCTACTCCAGTTAGCTTTCCATTTCTAATTGCCAAGTACTTCTTGCCATAATTTGCAAACAGCACGACCGCCCTGAGGCCGTCCGTGGAGTGGTCATCCGCCTTTAGAACCCATTCCTCCGCCCCGTAATGCTGGCCCTTGGTGTAAATGTAATCGCCGTTGGGGTCATACCCTGTCAGGATAAGTAACAACAGGGATTTAATGAGGGATATCTTTTTCTTAGAACTGAAAATTGTCTAATATTTCAGTAACCGCATCACGTTACAAACAAACTTTCATACAGATTTTGAAGTTTATGACCCCTCCTTTTCTACAACATCGTGCGCTCTAAGTTCGTTTTCCACGTTTAGTCTTGACACACTACTATGGCACTAACCTAGATATCCATTAGTGGCGTAGTTTTTGAAGAAATGAATCTCTGACTTGGGTTGCTTTTCCTCGACCCAGTAGCTTGTATCCTCAGCACGGTCCCTCATAACCAAAGTGCTGCGGTTGCCACTTGCAGGGTGAAACTTCACCTGACCTGAACGGAACGAGAGCATCAGAACGGTAACCGTTATTTGTTGAACTCTTAGAGTTAACTTGTCACTACGTATCATTGTCATAAAATAAGTTTTTGTACCTGACTCCGCCAGGAATTTTCCAGTGAGTTTGTGTTGGAAGGCTCGTCCGGGTTTCTTTATTATCTCCATCTCTGGACTCAGCTTAATATCATCCACGGGTACAGACTCCAGGGAGTTAATTATCTCCTTAACTAGGGACTCCAGTGAATTCTCGAATACAGTTCCTTCCCTGTTATTGGCAAAAAAAGCAATCAGTTGTTCTTTCAGGTCACGAAGGACCTGAAAGAACAATCTGAGAGAAATTGACCATAAAGGAAGCAGTCTTGTCGCACGGGCGCCAACGATTTGATTCGATAAGCCAGGTCCTAGATTACTGCATGGACACCTCACACATGAACGTAAGAAACTGTACAGTGTTCATTCATGATGAGGCCCTCAGCAACATGATTATGACAAGCACAGTGAAACACACAACCCTTTCGATACATTGCTAATAAACGAGCTCGTAACGAATATGAGATGACTGATTTACCTAAAGTCAATCCACAGAAGCCCAGCAGTGATAACGCCTAACCAACCTGTCGCTTTGAACCCCTTCTCGCACATCACAGGGACGATGGCTCTTGATTGAGCATCTGCGTAGTTCAATTCCTTTTTACAGTTCTTTGAGCCCTGAAATGGACAAAAGGGGAAAGGTGTACTCGTAGAATATCAAATTAAACGTAATAGACGTCCATTCAACGACAAGCTCCGTTTCTCACCCCGACCCCCCAACCCCCAACCCACTCTCTTTAACTTCCTCATTCGATACTATATTCGTTTCAGTTCTGTTGATTTCACCCACTTCCTCCCTTGACAGTCTGATCCAGCTTTAGAGTCAGTCGTTTCGTGAGAGATCAGTTGTCAAAAATCAGAGTAAGAAAATGATCAGCTTTGTCTCAGTTAGGGGTGCATTTAAAATACCAAACTTACGAAGTAATCCGCTGTCATGAAACAGCAGACGACGGCCGCTCCATCCACTCCCTTGGCCATGCTAGAAACAGGAAAATTTGGTTAGTGGTTTGTTTCCTGCGAGGAATATTGACTGTGGAAAACTGGCATGTGATCGCAAATAAGGCAGTCAACAGTAAAATCAACTTAATTAACTGATTATGTCAACCAGCGGATGATCAATGGAGGGTCGTTTTGAAGTCAGTCGATCAAAGCACAACTGCATTTGAATAAAATGCAATACATGGTTAGTAACAAAGATGCCTTTTGTTAACACTTCAGTAATGGATTTCACGGCAAAATAGAAAAGACAAAAATGATCGAGCCGCTGACTACCGTAAGATGCGAGTTCTGCGCATAGCGCATGCGCACCTGTCGTTAATGTTGCCCGTGACTCCACCGTGCGTATCCATCCAGGCGTCTATACCGTGTTCACGTAAACCGTTATACACTTTCTCTACGAGGTTCTGCTTGTTCCACTGGTAAGACAGCATTATGTGATGTTTTCCCATGGCTACTGAGTGTTTTTCTGGGAATGTAGAGAGAAGGGTGTACTTAGTAATTGAATATTGAATATCTGATAACAGTCCTAAAGGAAATGGGTAGCTTGTGTTCAAGTGGGAATGTCAGTGTTCGGTAAATATAAGCCGAGTTCAACAAAGGAAACAACAACAACAAATACAGGAAGTAGGATGCAATCAAAGGAAAATATATGGGTCTCCAAAGGCTTTTAATTCTTCAGATTCTTAACATAGCAAAAATAATTGTCGTTGGACTAACAGTCAGTTTTACCAAGTTAGTTTTGCAACCATAAATATCAACCAAGACAGGAAAGCTTATCAATTATATTAATATAATTAATATTAATATCAATCATTTTAATTTCCACAATCCAGGAACTGTTTCCATGAAGGTAAAAAATTGGTTATTAATCGTTCTTGGATAGCCCCTCCCTCCTCAAAAATTACACCGTATAACGCATTCTACGGGTAACACTGGGAGATAATTGTTGTTTTGTATGTCTGCTTTTGTCTCAGCATTACAACCCTGGATTAGCATGTGCTAAGATTTAATTTGCATAATTAGAACATGAAAGTCGACGAGTTGTCAATACATTTCAGGCTCTTACCTTCTCGTGAACCTCGACAAAAACGCCATTTTTCGCAGAAAATCGATGTCTTAATATGCTTTCGAACCCAAAACATTTTCCTGGAATCGATTTATTCGAAAATGCATGATAATGACCTTTTATCGGAAAGAGATCCGCTTTGAACACCACGCAGTTTAAAAAATGATTACCTATAATTTTTCGCCTCAATGGACGTGCCTCCTTTCGTTGTAAAGAAAATCTAGTCTCCTTTTTCGTCCCTTTCCTAACAGTTTTATATTTAAACCATGTAAAACGAACGATCTCAATAGGATGACTCTTGTTAAATGTTGCAGCTGATGCGCGCGACCTGGCGTAAACATCAGGGCGTCCATAACAACAAGTACTGAAGGTTTCTAAGGTTTATCTAACGGTCTCCGCATTAAATGTTTTGTCGCGAAAGAGTAAGTTTCCATGAAGCGTTTTCAGTGAATGCATATGTCTCCGTTGAAGCAGGGTTGATAAAGAAAGGCACGGTGCAACTTAGTAATCGAATTTCCTGAATACAAAATCCAACTAAACACAAAGTTGTTATCGACTTAACGATTTCCATATTGCATGTGTCGGACTCGTTCTTGTTATCTTTTTCTTCACTAAGTTTGCGCTACTATATACAACATCACACAAAGGTTAGATTTTGGAGTTCAAGCACAGCCTCTTTGCACAGAAATGAAACCCCATCGTATTTACAACTTGATATCTATCTAAACATTACCTGATTACGAAGGATTGAAAAAGATACGGTAGCAGGTTCTCAACTTACTTTTGCCTCGAAAAATGTCCTTAAAAGACTTTAACAGTGAAGAACGACTAAGCTCAAATTTCCCTCCGTATTAACTTCTCCGTATTAACCGGCGTCAACTGGAGATGAGTATTTCAGAGGAATTTTTTTGTTTATGATTGGTTGAGAAGTCAACAACTGACTCCGAACACTCATTTGCAAATGCAAGCGGAAATCATCACGCAAAACAATTACTGTAAATTACTAGACACAGCCGGGTGGGTTGTTTCAGGAACGGGAAGGATTTGTTGGGGGGTGGG